GGGGCAGGTGATGTCGAGACGAGATGCCGTGACGTGAAGGAGTGGAGATGCGAGTGCTTGTGCTTGTGAAGGCCATGCGCATGCCAAATGGCACAGGGAGAAGAATGCTGAAGTTGCTGTCCACGTACTTTTGAATTTGTGTTCGTGAAGAAGAGAGGAAAAGTTGGGAAGTCAGAACGCTCAACTACTTCAGCGAGCGCGCGGCCCCACAGGCGCCAAAGCTACGCGCGCGAGATTCACACAACGCCTGACCTTACCCTGCACATCAATGCCTTGAGCTACAGCGGAGATCATGCCTTGCACTGTGAAGAGTTCCGTGAAGAGAACGAGCTCAGTGCTCAATTGCCTGTTGCATACATTATGGAACTCTTCATCGACGGGTCTCAGCGAGCTTGACGCGTCCAGGAATTGCTTTGCCTGAGTATCGAATAGACCTGCAATGCACGGCAAGTGACAGTTCTGTCCATTCATCGCTCTGCGACTCACCATGCTGGATTCATCGACTTCAGCTGCTTCCATTAGTACTGCGATGTTCCTGCTCTTGCCAAACTTGCTCAAGCGGGATGTGGGTCTTGGCCGCCCAAACTCAATTCGCGGTCCATATCGTTCCCTCGCTGAATGAACTACACGACACGCCATTGAGATAATTCAATGCGTCGCGTTCTGTGCGGTAGACTTCTCCGTTCAATCGCATACCCATGTTGAGTGTATTTACGAATTTTGGAGTGTCCTGCAATACTGAGATCCTACGCGTGTCAGACGCGAGGAGACTGCCCGGTCGATGTCGAACAGGATGGGAAGGCACGACAGCAGCACCTGCCCGTAGAGTAACAAGTCATGTAGAACGTTAGATACACATACACACAATCAGAGAACGATAGCACCCTAGCAACTCACCGATTCCTGCACCGATCAAAATGGTTTCCACTCGTCGTACCAAGAACGTTTCGAAGCCTGAGCCTGAGCCAGCTCCAATGCCAGCTCTCCCGACGCCAGTCACGTCCAAGACCAGCAAGAAGCGTGGCAGCGTGGCAGTTCAGCAGCCGGACGCCGATGAGACTCCGGCTAAGAAGGCCAAGAAGAAGGCCGAGCTGACTGTCGGTGATGTTGAGGCAGGTGGTTCAGCCATCGTGCCCGGTGAAGTTGAAGAGGAAGTGGGTGAGGGTGATGAAGAAGAAGAGGAAGGGGATGATCATGTGTACGATCCAGAGGCGGAGGCTCTTGGTCGTCTAGTTGAGAACGACGACGATGATGACGACGATGAGTACGGGGAAGATGAGCCTGCGGTCCAAGAGTATATCGGCAAGGGCAAGGGCAAGGCTGTGCCTGTGACCAAGAAGGCAGGCCAGAGACGCAAGGGCATTCGGCTACCCAAGTTCGATGTGGCCGCCTTTCAAGCCATCGACATTGGGAAGGTGGGTCCACTACCACAGAGGACTCAGAGCCAACAGAAGAGAGCCTTGGCGGAATACGAGGGTCGGATGAAGAAGTTCATACATTTTCGCCACAAGCTTGCCAATTCTGAGGAGCACTGGACGGAAGACTTCCCGTTCACACGGTCCGCGAAGTTGTGGTGGAAACACCATTCTGAAGACGAGGCATGGCAGTGTATATCGAGTGCCACCACTCGTGATCGACAGCTGGTGTTGGGCGGCATGTTTCTCGGCATTTATGATTTCTCAGACTTGCCGGCTCCAACACCAGAGGAGCTCAGCCACTGGGTCGTGTATGGTGACCTGGTCAACGATGCTGAGATGTATGGTGGTAGCGGTACAGCTGCTCCAAACAACGGGGCCGCTTTTAACAGGCTGAGCCACTACGAGAAGGCAAAGAGGCGAGCCAATGCAGGCGAGGACGTCTCAAAAGATACCGAGCAGAGCGCCCATTTGCGCAGTGCCCTTCGCCCAGGGATCGAGATGAAGCTGCGAGTGACTTCAGTGTTCGATCCGCTGAAAACAAGAGTGGCGGATGTCTTGATCTCGGAAGGCCTGACAGTCGACTACCTGGGGTCACAAGATCAATCGAGTGGGAAACTCTCCAAGTGGAACAATCGCGCTTCAATCCAGGCGGCCAAGGATGTGGTTCCAAAGCCGAAGTGGAAAGGCTTGAACAGAGTCAGTCCCTTCATGCAGGGTATCAAGGGGGATGCCCTCAAACCGCGGATCCTTGAAGCTCAGAACTTCCACTGTGAGCTGTGCGAGCATCGTGGAATGGAGAAATACAACTTGTGGAGACCACCCCAGCCACGTCTCGGTTGCAAGCAGGCGTACATTTGCAACAACTGCTGGGAATACGCCTCCAAACATCCAGAGATGGACACTGATGGGGTGAAGAGACGTGTGTTGGCTTATCGCTCAGCGGTGGACGAAGATCCCCGCCATATCAAATGGCTTATGGATGAAGGAATGACTCAGGAAGAGTACGAGCAGTCCTTGCGCGACCAAGACTGTGAGCAAATCTTCTCTCTGGGACTGATGCGTATCATCTGACGATTTCTTCTAGGCAAGTGTCCAGGTTGCGACAAGAAGGGACCCAGCCCAGATGTTGCAGGCTGGCGCGATGCATGGCTTCGCAATATACGTCATGGAGACGTGTTCGCCGAGTCCTGGCTTTGTACGGGATGCAGCGCGGCGTTTAACTTATATGCCAGGCAAGGCTTGCCGAAGGAAGAATGGCTCGCGAGAAGGAGACACTTCCTCGGCGAGGGTCTCGATCAACCACTCCCGAACGACGCAAATGGGGAGCCGATCTCCGGGAACGCGAGAGTAGCATTCATCAGGACCAAGGAAAAACGGGCACAACAGTTCGAGGATCTGCAAGCCCAACATATGGGGTGTTCGGTGTGCCAAATCGACTTCTGGAAGGAGGTGAAGGGTCCGATCGACTTATTTGGATTGGCCCAAGGCACACAGCCGGGGCAGCTGCCGAGCGATTGGCCAGAGTGTGGTGTCGTTGGTCGAATCGTCTGCTCCAAGTGCGAGAGATGGTGGAGCGACAGAATTCAGGGCCGAAAGAGGACGAAGCCAAAGCCATCGCTGGAAATGGCCAAGGAGATTCTCGCCGTTAGGCGAGCCAAGCTCAACCCTGCCGAGTCTGTCGGGGCGGCACAAGCATGAAGTCGATCTTGCATTGACGATGCTGAGGATGATTCGCAGGTACCAGATTGTTGGGAAGCCTCTGTGGTTATTTTGATACCAGAGGTCACTGAGGGTGGACCTGTTTTGGTCCTGACAGCCCAAGGAAGTGACACTCACGAGCGGACCTGTTTCGGTCCTGACAGCTCGGTCTTTGCCATTGGCAAGCAAGATATCATCGAGGGCGGACCTGTCTTGGTCCTGACAGCCTGAGGACGTGATTATCGAGGGCGGACCTGTTTCGGTCCTGAGAGCCCTGAAATCATTTGCCGTGACGCTGGCGGAAAAGCACAACGCTAACGTCGCTCGCAGGAAAATGAGGGCACCACCGCCGAAAGGCCCGAGGCGTTGTTCAAAAGGTGTGTGGCCTGGTCGACCGCGAACGAACTTTGCTCACACCGATACAGGAGGACAACCACGGCGCCATCGCCGAAAGGCCCGAGGTGTTGTTCGACAGCGCGTCGCGTGTCCGACTCCCAGATCGCTCCTGCCAGAGGAGAACGGGAGCGCCACAGGGAATGGTCAAAGGTCTTGCTCAGAAGGTTTGTATCCTGGCTAACGCTGAAGCAATCTTGCTGACGTCTCTGCAGATAATGACACCAATTGCAGAATGCCCATGGACGCCGTTCAAGGTGTCCATTTATGTCCGGCTCCAGGAGATTTGTCCGAATTGACGACAGAGTCGCGAAATCGAAACGCTCGCAGCGGTACCCGAGGTGTGTGAGAGGACGCTTGGTATGATCGATGCTTCGGCATGCAGACATTCGCTATGTCCGAGTGTGTTCATTCTGATATCGGTCATGAACAGTAGGAACGACTTTGACCAAGTCCCACCTGGAGAAAGAGTGGTCATCAACTCGTCGTTGAAACAGGCAACCTATGCTCGAAGCAGGCTCCCGAAAGCAAAGTGACCTCAAGAACCAGCTGCAGGAACGATGGCTTGGACCTTCCCAACAGCATTGGGCCAGAAACACACGAATCGCCCTCTCATCAGCAGTGCTTCGCTCCAGACACAGGACGTGCGGTCGCGGAGATGAGATGATACATCAGGCACCGGAACGGTCCGTGAGAATTGCAGCACCAACGCACCAAACGTTCCACGAGTCATCTTTTGAGAGATCCACCTCGAAGCGTTACCATGGCAACAGGGCCTCACAAGCAAACATCGACATGCGCCAGACCGCGACCAAAAGCGAGCCTTGACGTCTTCCAGATGTTGAAGCTCATCGATACTGGATATGAAACCTGCATCGACGACAACAATGCATCGAATGTACGCTGATACGACCATCGCGCCGCTAGCAGTGTCGAGTATGCTCAAAATACTGCACGCATCATCTCGCAGACTCCAAACTCATGGTCACGAGCGATGGAGCAGCGGCTGAGAAATCTCGATTCTGGCACCAATACGATGACGAGTTTGATGACTACAGCGGCCTGACGGCAGATCCGCTCGACTGAGAGCCTGGAGACCACGGTCAGCACTCCACTTCCACGAGACTTCTTCGTAACTGGCGGCTCTAGACGCTGAAGCACATTCAAAATGTGCTTGAGAAGCAATACAGAAAGAGCGAGACATGAGGAGCAACGTCAAGTTCCAGAGAGGGAGAGATTCGTGCCAAAGAGAGGAATCCGCAAGACAAGGCAATCTGAACAATATGGCTTGAAGGGCATCACAAGCAGGGAACAAGGAATGGCGACAACAAGGAACAGGATCGCAGCATGGAATGGAAGACGATGTGGAGGCAATGGTGGGAAGGCCACAATATCGTCACAAAGGAAGCAAAGGTGGAAAGCATCGGAAAAGCAAATTGTGGAAAGGCCACAGCAAAACCACGAAATTGAAGAAACAAGAAGGACGCGTCGGAAAGGGAATTGAGTGGAAAGGCCACGAGAACATCAACAAAAAATTGAGAAGGACGGAAAGCATTTGAAGAGCAAACAGTGGAAAGGCCACAGCAACATCATTGAACCAAAGAGAAGAGCGAAAAGCGTTGGAGAGGCAATCGAGTTGGAAGGCCACGACAACACCGCAGAGAAAGGCGACAATATGGGCATCCTCAAGTTGAAGATTGCACAACGACATGGGCGTGAAGATATCACAAAGGAGGACAATGGGACGACATCGGACAGGCATCGCAGCAAGAACATCCAGAACGACGACAAAGGAGGCACGGCACGACGCGACAACCTCAGTGGAGGACGTAAAATTGAGACAGGTCTGGGCTACGGTGCACAGACAGATGTGAGGGACAAGAGTGGTCAGCAAGCAAATTGTCGACACCCGATCAAGGACATGGACGGGGCCGAGGACGAGAGCAACCTCACTGGAGTGGCACCGCACTGATTGCCAGCCCATTGGTGATCCCAGACATACCTGAAGCAGATGTCTCGACAACGCGCTAAGGCCGAACGGATTGAGAGATCATTGGTACGATCAACGTACGTCTCGCAGCACCCAAGCAAACCTTTTGAATGATCATCACCTTGCAGCGGAAGCACCACTGTTTGCAAAACAAGCGGATTATCCACAACTTCTGAAGGCCTCAACCCTCTACCAACAGTCCGCAGCTACTCATTGCATGCTCCGTTGTCGTATATCCACCATTCAATTCGGTCTCTCACACGCTACCACCATCAACAAAGTAATGCGAGCAGCAAGGACAGCTTGCGGCATCAACGGCAAGCGGACGAGCACACCACCGCCGACTGATAACTGATAGCAACACCACAACACTGCTCTACTGTTGCTTGTGGCTCGACAGCTTTTGGCGTGATGTCCACTCAGCTCGGTTCACCACATTCTCAGTACCAATGACAGAATGAGCGCAGTACAGCCACCTTCTGCAACACATCTCAATCAACGTATGATGGCGTCAAACTCAGCCTGGTGCATATACGCTTCAAGACATCATCCACACCCCTCCAATGGAGCTTGGAATCTTCCTTTGGGATCAGCAAAGTCGCTCCAAATCAACGTAAAAGTGCTTCAACACATTTCCGTGGTACCTACTGCCGTAATCTCCAAGACGGCCGGCATTCTCTACTGATGGCTGTCGCAATGACGGGCACTGATTTCGAAAACAGCAAAGAGTGGGCTTGAAGTGTCCATGTCTCCCCAACACAAGCACGCTGCGCTACACCGTGCCGCTACGATTCATGCCAACGGGAGAAGCGCTTCTCCGTCCGCAGCAGGTTTGCGCCATTATGCTGAAGTCCCAAACCTAAGCAAGTTCGTATGGCCAGCATAGAGTTCCACAAGCACAACAACATGACATCCAGGCGTGCAATGCACACAGCAATAGCCTTTATCTCCAATGCTGGCGTTCAAAAAGTAACGGCTATCACATCGCGACTCTTCACGGCCATCGCACGCGCTTCGAGTTTGCACTCATGCTGTATGCGCTCACAATATGACAAGCATGCAGCGTCTGAAATGACGAAATGCGTACGCACCAGCATCACACCGAAATCCACATGAGACAAAATCTCTCCTTGGCCGCAACCGCCGTTGAAGCGCAACACAGAGACCGAGTCCATCGATCAGCATCACACCACTTCCTGTTCATGAAAGCTCTCCCAGACCCCTTGCCGTTCTATCTACGACATCGCCATTTCATCGCTGGACTAGTGCACATGACTGGCTACCGGTTGATTACATTTACGGCTGCGTGACATGGCTTCATGCTGTACAGCTGCATAGCCATCGTGAGGAGGCATAAATTGTCCTACAACGAATCGACATCAGCCGTTCTGAGTGGCCAGCGCTTTTGACAACAGTCGCAGCATCGTCCGCACAAATCGGTATTCCTGCTCACATTGTCAATATATTTGAGCACATCCTTCACAATACCACTCGACAGCACTTTCGCCGTGCCCAAAACACATGACATTGCACTCCACAACGAGCGGTATATTGCGGAAGCACCTCGTGGCGCTCGGATGTTGTCTCAGAACACGACACTGGTTAGCCCGACCCTCCTTGATACCAACCTCACGAGACTCATCTCTCGCACAATCCATCGCTCCTGGCCACGACCACTATCCTCAGAGTCCTACCGTTCTCACTCTTGGCAACGAAGCACGGGCAGAAAGAGTAACGCAAGCCAGACCACTCTCATATCTCCCGGTGCTGGCCCCTACGCCGAAGTCAGGTGTCGTAAAGAGCCAAGGGAATCTGGAGGATCTCTCTTCGATTCCCAAGGTACAGCAGAAGAGTCGGACTGCGGATATCCTGCTCAACTTGACGCATAATGACGTTCCGAATGCAGATGCACATTTCTTGCTCCTGAAATTCTACCAGATCCACACGACGCTGCAGACCTCTTCCAAGACCAGACTGATGTCCAAGGTATTCTCGAGGCAGATGCCCCAGTCTCTGTTTCTGGAGCTCAAGCAGAAGCACACAACGCTGCAGACTTCTTCCAGAACCAGACCGACTCTCAAGCCATTCCGGATGCAGACGTTCCAGACGTCGATCATGAAGCTCAAGCAGAAGCAGTCGGCAGTGCAGGCACTCCACTTGTGGATGTTGAGCTGTGGTGTTCGCAGGGTCGTTCTTGGTGTATGAAGGGGACCTTTGGTGATACGACAGCAAAGACCCGAAGCGCCTGTGCAGATTACTTGATACTTCTTCCCACCATTGGCGGTTCACATAGACACTGAACTATTCAATCTCGAAAAATTGTGTACTTTGTCATCTCGGGTACAGCTTCACATCCGCCGCAGCTTTACATTCGCAGCTGTGAATTCCGTAACTGATATTAAAGAATGCTAAATCGCTCGATTCTGCTGTGCTCGATGCCTAAATCTCACATATGCCCGAACAGGCGTCCACTCGAAGCATCTTAAAAACGTGTACCTGCTCACTCTTGCTTGACACAAGCGGTCCGGGTGCAGTGTATCTCTATGTCACTGTTAATAGACACGATGTAAGAGTGTGCGTCTCTCTTCGCCTCAGTATACTTTCCCCTACCCTGTGTAGTCTTGGTTGTGGGCGTGCCATTTTTCGAGTGCGCAGCACAGCCCAGTCAGCCTTCTACTGCACCACGAGAACCAAGATATTATCAGTCTTCGGCGACACCAGCTGTCCAATGTTCTTGTTCAAAAGCTATGTTAAGAGTCACGTTGTAGAGATAGGCGAAGACGAACGATTCAAAACACATTATTGCTAGACTTCTCGAGTCTGGAGATCTTTTCACATGCGACTTCCAAGCCTTATTTGTCTTAGCTATTCCAAGACACAAATCGGAAATAAACAAATAAAACACGACATGGACTTCTTTAGCTGGTTATCTCCGTCTGTGAAGCCAATAGGTCTGATTTCTATGATCCCACCAAAGTGAACTTGTGTCTTTGGTCCTGATAGCATGTTATTACCGCATCGAGTGCATATCGTACCGCGCGTTACGAAAGCTACATCAACGCACGATCGAGTCCGAATAGGCTACCATACCTCTATCTATGACCTAGACACTGTTTGCCGTCGGTTTACTTGTTCCTATGTCCTCGTACCCACTTCCTTATATCAATTGAAAACTATACATTGAAGCCGGGAGCAGCATCTGGATGACCACGAGAGATGTACAATCACCACTCTGGTCCCGATCGATAGTATGCACAAATCTAGCCCGTTTAAGAGTACTGCTTGATCGCCGAGAGCAGCATCTTATAAGGGCTTCGGCGAATAGCAGTATGAGACTCAAGGGCATTATACGCCAACAGGGTGCAGCAGACTATCGATCGGGCCTGGGGTAATAACCGTATAATATTATCAATCTGACGAAGCCTAGCAGACTTCGTGTAATTGCTCAATTCCTCCAAGCTTGACATCGGAGCTCGGTGATCATTACTATATATGGTTAGATGAAATGTGCTTAGTCATCAATCAACCAATCATCTCTCGAGGCTGCTTCCCACTTGCTGCAAGCTCAATGCTAACGGTAGTATAGCCAATGAGCGAGCCTGGTCGGGACCACTCTCATCGCCTAGTGGTGCTAGGGTGGAGAGCCCCGGCAAGTGGCGGGTGTCCCGAATATCCACCACCAATACACCGTATTGGGCGAGCTGACAGTAGGGATTATGTATTCTTAGCACTCCAGCAAACGGGCAGCAAAACGGGCAGCAAATGAGGCGCACAGATAGCTAACGGAAAATCCCCCGGGTAAGTCGTTCGAACTCCCAATAGCAGCCTCGAGAGATCTCTTTTTTTTGTCCTATTTTTGAACTTTGTCCGTTGCTGATTTGTATTCGAAGCCTTTAGATCACGACCCAGAGCTGGAGTCCGACTGAACTTTGTGCGTTGCCACTGCCATTGTCGTGGGGCATCTCTGCATGTACGACACCTCTTCCGGCGGTCATAAACTGTAAATCACCAGGAAACAACGTCCCCTTCTTCCCCGTGAAGTCTTCGTGGTCTACGCCTCCTTCCAACAAATAGGTAATGGTCTCTTGCCCTCTATGTGGATGATCGGGAAAGCCTGCGCCAACATCGACCTTGAAATGGTCAAGCATCAAGAATGGAGTGAAATTCCGCAACTTCGGGGTACCAATGCTCCGCCGTACTGTTGCGCCAGCACCTTCCGCCTGTTCGCGAGCTTCGAATACTTGAGAAATGCCTCGTGGTGTAGGATTGGCTGCATTGAGAGAAGGGTCTTCCGGAGGGATGACGGGGTATCCAACCCATTGTTTCGAGTTCGCCATAGTATTGAAGTGACTGCTGTTGTTTCGAATAGGTCTGCTGAGGTTGCTTGCTGCTCGTAGAATGCCACGCATGTACTGGTTTAAGCTGTCGATTTGTGTGAGTGCCGCAAGGATAATCGCCAAAATTGATATGAACAATCGCATGAATTCGGCCGGGCTTCGTCGAATTTATACGCTTCTCGAAGTCGTGCAATGGCCGGGCCTCGTTGGATTCATACGCTTGTCGAAATCGTGAAATGGTACCTGCTAGAATGAACTCGCTTGATATTACTTATACTGTGTTGTTGTATTGGTTGAGCAGTATTGGTAACAGGTGAAGTAGTTGGCGGGATTTAGCCGCACTTAGCCAGAATTTGATTGCGCGCTAATTTGCCGAATTTAGCGATTGCCTCAACTGCCTCGGGGTTCGGTAAACCTCACGTCTCCTTCAACGTGCCAGAGAGCTGCACAATCGCCAGTCATTGTTGAGCAGATAATTTCATAATCACCAGTCTACCTTGGAGATACAGAGAGCTGCACAATTACCAATCCACCGTTGTGGTCTGACTCCGACCAATCGACCTTCTCATCATCGCGCCGGGACTCAAGCAGGACCTCTGACTGTTAAGGCCAGGCAGAGACGTACTGCATCAAGGCCGAAGTTTGACGAGAGAAAGTACCAATCAGCCATGACGACGACGCTAAACAACGAGCAAGTCGCTGCCCTGATCGACGCATTCGTTAAGGAGCATGTAAGCGTTATACGGGAAGACAATTTCGACAAGCGCTTTTACGAAGCATTGCGAGTTCGTTCTGTAACGATAGCCGGACCAGGAACATCAGCTACAGCGGTGTTCGAATGCAAGATTCCAACGACATACTCCAACCAACCCAAGGATTCACCGAAAAAGACGATTCATGGCGGCGCAGTGACAACATTCTTCGATATGACGACCTCTTTAGCGATTATTGGGTGCAATTTTCCGGCGTGGCACAGTACCGGCGTAAGTGGAATCTGGCAATACAGCCGCGCAACGATTTCCGAAGGCTGACATGATTCCTGCAGGCTTCGCGCAAGCTTGAAGTTACTTATCTCAAACCTCCCGTAGAGGGTGAACTTGTGCTTTTCGAGTGCGAAGTAATACAGATCGGAAAGCGTCTCGCCGAGCTTAGGGGGATAATGCGGCGCGAAGAAGATGGGGCCGTGCTGGCAATCTGCAACCATCAGAAGTACTTAGCGGACAAACCGCATTATGTCAGTAAATCGATGACCAAGCTGTAGCTCCGGCGTGCACCAGACGGAGCCCGGAACTAATATGTTATGTTTTGCGGCCACTGCCATCATACCATAGACTAGACTGTGTGATAGGCTATAGCGATGACTTATATGCCATCCATCGCATCTCTGGCCCAAAGCTTCACAGTCCGATCGCGTCCACTTGACGAAAGCCAGGCCGCATCTGCAGTCACGTCGACCGACAAGACAGTGCCATCGTGTCCTGATAGGGACTTGCACAAGGCCCAGTCGTCTGCGGAGAAGATGTTGACATTCTTGTCGAAGCCAGCACTAACAAGGAACGTGCCACTCTTCCGAGGTTGCACAGCTGCGCTTGACCCCTGCTGGTCATCCCCATCGGTCATGACTGCATCGGGTTGCTGAAGTGCGCCCGAAAGTGGCCCATCGGTGCCCTTGAACCATCGCAGGTCGGAGACTCCACCAATATGCGCGCCAATGCTGGCCGTTTCTCGTACAGCGCGCAAGTCCCAGCACTTGGCAAAGCCATCGGCACTGCCTGTCATGACGCGATGGCCATCACAACTCCAGTCGAGGGCATGAATTGAGCCAACGTGACCTTCGAGAATCATTGCAGTTCGGCCTGTTCGAAGGTCCCAAATGCGACCAATCGAGTCAAGCCCAGCCGAAGCAATGAGATTGCCGTCCTCGTTGAAGGCGACTGTGTAGACTTCTTTGCTGTGTCCTTCTTGCAGCAGCAACTCGGTGGTGGTTTTCACATCCCACAAGCGCCAGGTCGTGTCATAGCTCGCGCTTGCCAGGTACCTCCCAGATGGATGGCATGCCACACGACATACTCTTGCGCTATGTCCGCTCAACGATGCCACTGGAGTATCCTGTGTCAGAGACCATAGGTGTATCTCGTTGTCGGCTGCAGCTGTGGCGAGATTCACATCCTCTGGGGCTATTGTCGAGCCGGGGAGGGTCGCGCCAGGAAACCACGTAATTCCACCGATCATACCTTTGTGCCCCCGCAGTGTCATTTTGGTGTCCAGATTGGGCACATCAAGCAGCTTCACCGTGCCTCCCCAGTCTCCGCATGCCAACAGCTCTCCATTAGGCGCGAATCGCGTCAGGCTAACTGGACGCTCGCTGGCGATCTGACTGCCAAAGAGATCCACATTTGCGAGTTTCCCCTTGATTTCTTTTCGATGCTTCACGTGGGTCTCCACAGGAATCTTGCTCTCTTGCTTCTGCCTCTTGAGCCGTCGCGTGGTGCGTGGTAACGAATATCTCGCAATCTCTCGACGAGCTGCCAGTAGTTCGTTGCTGCCCTCGATGTAGAACTCGCCCTCCTCATCCGCATCGTCTGCCTCTTCAACGTCGGCCATAGACTCATCCTCGTCTGCCGCACCTCCATCTTGTTCGCGCAGCAGTATTTCCCGTAAGCGGTCCCGGCGGTCCTCTTTGCGCTCCCCGAACAAGGTGATGGGCTGGCCTCTGCCACGAAGTTCTGCGCGCACGCGCTGATCGTCTGTTGGCACTGCAAGCGCAGCAGCTTTGCGCTTGCGGGCAAATTCGTTCAGGACAGTCGACGCATGTTGGGCCTCGCCGCCAACCGTCGCAGCGGGGAGATGGTAATTGGTATCGAGCGCTGAACGTACATTAGCAGTCGCGCGTCAACGCGGACAAGCAGGGCTCGCACTTACGAACGCTAGCGAGATCGATGCTGGTATCCTGCCATTGTCGCTATCAGCTCCCGCTCTCGTTCCGTCGGCGTTTCTGTTGCTGGGTGTGTGAATACGACAATGACTCTCACTGCAACATTGGTGCAGTCGCATGTAGGGGCAAAGGTACTGACCTCTTCTTCGATGTATGCCTTGCGCGCTGAATGCATGGTGACGGGCGCAAGCAGTTTTGGCGTTGTCGTGAAGTGAGTGCGACCTTTTTCCGCTCAGAGCTTCGAGCTTCAACCTCGAGCGGGCGCACCTCCGCGGACCACCACCCCGTCCGGCCACTGCCTCCTCCACCACCACGGACCGCATCGCCCTCAGTGCGCATCACTGATCGTCCGACATCACATCGCACGCATCAGTAGCGAGAGCCATGTGCTGACCATGTTGTTCACCGGTGCCGTTCTCTGCTATTTGCTCGCCCTAGAACTCGAGTGGCCATGTCAGCTCTCCCTCTGCAGCTGCTCGCGAGACGACGCCTGACGACTTCGCCAGCATCCAGCCCCATCAAGTCCCTGATGCGTATCCCGCAGCCCCGCCTACAATCGTCGACCGCATCCTCGGCGCATCACTTCACCTACCGTCTAGCTGCTGCTTCCGCTCCAAAGCAAGCGCCTCCACGACCTCCTAAACCGGGCAGAGACTACTGGAATTACGCTTCCACTCATGTGGACCCACGTCCGCCGTACTTGCGCTCGACAAAGCCCGCGTCGGGAGAGGACGCCTTCTTCGCGTCGACCATTGGGGGAAGTCCGCATCATGTTGCCTTCGGCCTTGCTGATGGCGTGGGAGGCTGGCAGGACCAGGGAGTGGATCCATCTGAGTTCAGCCAGGCATTATGCGGCTTGATGGCGGGTTCCGCCAACATTTACGAAGGCCTCGATGCTGGGACATCCTGTAAACCACAAGAGCTCCTGCAGCAAGCCTACGATGCGGTCATGGCCAACCCACGCATCCCTGCCGGAGGCTGCACGGCCAGCTTGGGTGTGGCAGATCAGGATGGTATGGTTGAGACGGCAAAGTACGAGGAATGCTATCTTGACATCTAAGTGGGCCCTGATTAACGCACTGTGTAGTCTTGGAGATTCCGGATATCTGATATTCGGCCCTGGCAAAGTGGCCCATCGATCAATAGTCCAGACCCACGCCTTCAATACACGTACGTGGAGAGTGCGCTCTGGCTTCATTCACGACCACATTTACTGACAGCGGAAATCATGTAGCATATCAAATGTCCAAAGTTCCCGCTAAGATGCAAGCACAGTATGCCATCTTCGGCGGTGCTACCTACTTCAGCGAAACACCAGCGCAAGCTGATATCCACAGCCACCAGCTCAAACATGGCGACGTTGTTCTCTTCGCTACCGACGGCGTTTGGGACAACCTTTCCGCACAAGATACACTCCAGATTGTGCAGCGTGTCATGGAGGAGGGCGGCTACTGGTTCCGGTCGCACAATTTCCCTGGCGCCGAGACGATGGTGAACGATACCCTAATTCGCTCTCTACCACGTGAGGTAGAAGAAAAGCATAATCGGTCATATCTGCCTGGTCAGATTGCTTCGGCCGTCATGCGCGAGGCCAAGGTTGCCGGATTGGATCGGAGGCGTGATGGCCCATTCGCCAAAGAAGTCAACCAGCGTTACCCGCAAGAAGGATGGGAGGGCGGCAAACCAGACGACATCGCTGTCGTCGTTTGTATCGCAGTACAGGGTGAAGAACAACCTATCAAGTCGAAGCTTTGAGCAGGAACCGAAGAGTTCGACGCACCACGCACGCAGACACGGTGCAATCTGGCTCCTGGACTCACAGTGCGGCTGTCTGATTCAGCTCTCCGTGGTTCAGTAGAGCGCGAACGATGTGGCCGAATTTGTTCCGAGTCCGAGGTTCCGACTGTAGCTGGACTCCATTGAGTCACAGCTCAGAGATCGGAAGACTGCAGTCCTATCACCGACATGCCTCTGCTACGGACCATTGCCCGTGGTCAAGCAGAGGATCCGAGACCGCCATACCGTCTGAGAAAAGGTCTGCCTTCTGTTGATTGCTTTGGACGTCTTGGATCTTACAGCGAGTATCGACTCCGCCTATGGGCTGCATTTCCGCAATGCGTCATTCGACCACAACGTCCGGGTTAGAATCGCAACCGCCATTTGCGCTGGCTCCAATGTGCAGGCGACTCTTCCCGATTTGGCATCGCTGAGCTTGCGAGCTCTAGAGTCTCATTCGACCTATTTTTCCGCCTTGGCATTGCGAACTTGCCGTACGTACAACGCACGCTTCGTGCGCGACTGGGGACCGCGAAACCATTCGCACCAGGCTGAACGACGAGCGGCGAGGCGAGTCAATTGAAACTCCCCGTCCCCTTTGGACGAGCAGGCTGCTGCAAAGTGACAAATGATGGGCCTTCCCGATGGCCGCGCTCTGTAGTGGACGGGTCGTAAGCACGAACGATGTACGAGCCTGACATTCGGCCATTTGCTCAAGCATCAAGACAGACGGTAGTCGGAAAGGGCTTCAATGCGCATACCCGTACTCCCGACTTGTGTCGTCTTGTCGTGTCGTCAGTCGGCAAGACAAAAACAGTAGCGTAACCAAGAAGACTTTTGATTACCATCTTTGGCCGCTTCGTGTCATCCAACCAATGATAGCCGAAGCCTTAGCAGGTTCGCATTCCCATTCGTGATCGCTACTCGGGCAGTGCCATCACTTGCGTTACTCTCTCTTTGGCACCCGCTTGCCGCATATCGAGCAAATCGGTCAGAGATCGCCGCATGAGCGAGAGATCAGACGACAGGCTGTGGTGCGTGACGGTGAAGGATGACTGTGCACCGCGACAAGCGCTCCAACCATACTCTGCTATCGAAGGCAATGAACAGGTCGGTGCGCGCAAGATGATGAGCTCATATTGCATCTCATCGGCTATCATCAAGTCGTCGGGATCAAATTGAAGAGGTGATGTGCCGTCACAAGAGCGTTGAGCAATGCCCAAAAGACGAGGCAACATGATAGGCTCACGAATCCCACCGCTTGTAAGCGCTCTTGCATGAAGCAGCACGCAGGCCATCCCACCGATTGGGCAGTGCCGAGTGGGATCTAGTGCCGCGTTTGCCAATCGCCGACAGGAGTAGTAGCACTACCTGCTAAAGTAGGTTGTTCGTCCCTGACATGAACGCTGTGCTGCGCAGCTGGGCTACTCTGTGTCCGACAGCTTCTATTACGGCAAACACGGGGCGTCAACCCTGCACACTACGAAGCCATGCGCGCTGATGAGCGTCGCACGACAGTCGTTTGCGGTTGCCTATCGGCGGCTGTGCGACATGTGCCGCAGATGCGGTATTCTGGGTTGTGAGGAGTTAGCTTTCGTGAAGAGTGGGAGAGCTGTCGTTTGAACGCCCAACGCATATGACGCTAGACATCGTATGGATAGCTATAGCAGTGATGAGTCGCTAATCAAATGTTCTATCTCATTGTGTCGTGTGTTCACACCATCTTCCACAGGCTTGATGGTCCGCCGGGCCAAGAGGAGCCGGTGGCATGATGTCGATGGCCATTCGGAAGCCAGAGGTGCTACATGTAATTGTGCGGTGAACTGACTCGTTCACGGCCGCAATTGCTATGCTGCCAAAGCCCGCCATCAGAACCACAAATCGCAGTTCCGTCAGGCAATCGGAGGCGTGCGAATGGCCATGGGTAAACAGGATATTATTGCTGCGAAGACGCGGCGCACAATGATCCAGGACGTGCCGGTTTCAAGAGACGATGCGCATCTGATTCCTGATTTCAGTAACATGTGTGCGGATTACTATGTAGCGGTCTACTAGCCAGACGAGTGTCCGCCCAACCTCTTTCTGGCCGACGACTTGACCGCTACAGCGTGAATGCTCTGATCCTTGCGTGTCGTTGGGGCCCGGCTCGCAGCAGTCGTCGCGCCGAGGCTTCCTACTCGCCCATGGATAATGGCAATGTCGTCAGGCAGCTAAGGGCTGCATGAGGGCAGCGAGAGTGGCCGTGTTTGTCGACGGCAAGCCGGTATGAGCAACAGCGAGAGCAATTGTTCGCGCGACGCGACCTTGTTTGGGCAGCATCACTCTCACTTCACACAACGAAAGCACACCCGGCAGGCTTGGCGGCGCGATCTCACGATGCGCGAGCGTTTGTGTGGCTCGGCCCTCACTGGCGGCAGCCTTGTTTTTGGAGTTGACGAATTTCCCGAGCTGCCGTTTGGCTGCTCATCACCACCCTGTCTGCGGTTTGCACATGCCCGACGCGTCGTGTGGCCGCCGTTCGTCGCTCGTCAGCCAGCCATTCTCAGCCGCCCGGGAGCAGGAAGAGGAGCAGTGCAGTGCAGTGCAGCTCGAGCTCGAGCCCGAAAGGGTACGCAAGCAACAGCAGCAGCAGGCGAGCAGGCCAGGAAAGCAAGCAAGCAAGCAAGCAAGCAAGCAAGCAAGCAAGCCGGTGGGCAACGAGCACGCAGTCGCCAATCCTGCCACAATGTCACGCGCACCTCTGAAACACTGTCGAGGATGAGCGCGTCGCCGTCGTCGTCGCCCTCGGCCTCCCACACCACACGCCAGCCGCATGATCCGCCCGGCAGCACCAGCTGCGCGCGCACACGGCGGTGATTGTTGCGATCTGATGGTGCCGCGTCAATTCGTCAAGACTTATCCCCAGCGCGCGCGACGGAGCGGAGAGGCCCACGGCGAGCACACGGCCACGATCCGGACCTACTGCAGCTTCATGCATGCACCACTACCCAAAGCCAATCAATGTTCTG